GGCGAGGCCCGTCGTCCAAGGGTAGCACGAGTCGGAGAGCAAGCAAGTCGGGTCGGGTTTGAGGTTTCGGAGCGTATGCTCGACTTGGATTTCTAACTCGGCGGTCGCGCGAAAAAATTTGAGTATGTCGTCGACCGAGGATAGCATTTCGAAGTTGTCGCAATTGTTGGGGAGGCCGGCATCGGAGCTTGGGAGTTGGATGTGGGAGACGCGGATGTCGAGGCCGGAGGAGGCGGCGCGTTGGATCACGGGCTCGACTCGGGAGTGGTTGCGGAAAGTGGTGAGGATCGTGACGGTTAGGCCGCGTTTGGCGAGGAGTCTTGAGATGTCTACCATGGGAATAAGGTGGCCTTGGGCAAGGAAAGGGAGAAGGACAAAGTGGTGATGTTTTTGTGGTATGGCCATTTTTGCTTGGAGAGTCTCTTTTGTTGATGATTTTGGGACTAATTAGTTCTGATGTATGGTGGTTTTTGGAGATGGGAGTTTAAAGGCCCGGTTGAAAGTATTGGGTGATGGAGTGTTCAAGGTTTTTGTTGTTTAACAGAGATTTTTATCACTTCACTACAATTTTAGAGGAATTTTTGTGGATGATATTTAGGGGTCCCCAGCTTGGTCCTTACGCATATTGATGTAGTGTCCCCATCAATTGGAGTCTCCAACAATTATTTATTTAATTCTCCTTCATCTCCTAACTTCAAAAACTTTGGGCTGCCACCTATCTCTTAGCCCTTAAGGCCATTTTATCTCAATTCTAGGCCCACTTAAACTAATGTGGATTTGGGCCCATATAATGGCTGATATTGGATGCTTCATTAATGGATCAAGTGAACTACCGTACAGTGTTTCGTAATACACAAAAATACTCTAATTTGTTGAAAATAAATATAAAAAATACTAATGTATTGTATCCAATCAAATAATCAATAAAGTCAAAAAATATAAATGTGCAAATAAATTAAGCGTATAAAAATACACTATCAAATATATACAGTGTGCACATTTTTCGACCTATCAATATATAACCTTCAAATTCCGATATGTACTTTTTCTAGTTTTATATAAATTTCCCAGCTCATTGATGATATGATCGAAGCTTCAAACTTAGGGAGATGCTACGGTCCGTTACGGAATCTTTCCATCGGGATATCTATCTGTTTGATCAATTATCTCTGATGGTTACATGATGATCTAACGGTTACAAACCTCACTACCACCCCGCCTAGACTTACTAAAATCAGAGTAAAATGGAAAGCATAATTTTCGAAACTCATTTAATTTTTCGAAAATACTTTAACTTTAAAATGCGGGATGCTACTCAACTTTAATCTTATATCTTTATCTCTTTAATCTAACATGCGTGCGACCAAGTAAAATCCATTCTAGAATTAAGGTCATGAATAATACCAGATTAAACATGCATACTCTGAAAATCTGACATAATCTGACATCTTAAATACTAGTCTGAAATCTAACATCTGAAACACAAGTCTAACATGCAGAAACAAGTACAAGTTCGGAAAAACACACAAGCATAAAATAAACATAGATAATTCAAACATGTTCAAATAATATATGACATGTTTTCAAAAAACTGTCCTGAAGCTGGACCAACACCACATCTTCTTGAGTATTCTGGACTTCTACTTCTACTGGTGACGGGCGTAGGCGCTGGCACTTCCTCCTCCTTGTTGATCCTGGGCGGCTATTGCTTGCTAGGTTCTGCCATTTTTGGCAAAATTCATTGAAATGTAGAATTTACTTCGCCGTAATTCTAAGATTCGAAATCGATCTTATGGCTCTAATATATTTCGTAACGAGACCGTAGCTTTTCCCTCAAACTTAACCATACTTGATCAAATCACTATTATGAGTCAAATTTAAGTTTGACTAGACGACTATGAGATATTTATTAATTCCACTATCCTTTTGACAGCTTCATAAATTGTGGGCAGCCCATAATTTTGTCCTCATGCATGCATTATTTACCGACTAAATAAAATAGTGGTCACGGGATGGACTATTATTCCAGTCGAGCCGAGTAGCTTCACTTCAAATTGGATTCTTTTAACAATTTTAAATTTTAAATGAGATGTTTGCAAATACGAAATATAAGTTCACGATTAAATTTGGCTCAACCGTTGCACAAAATTCAAAATAATTTAATTAAAACAAATTATTCCCGAATAAGTTACTCTCAGTCTTGTTTAATAGACTAACTCAATTAGATGTTTCAGCTCGACTCGTGTAAGTAAACAGACGAACATGAACTCGAACTCTCACAAGCCGAACAAAGTTGTGTTCGCAGATCATTCGGTTCGTTTAACAGCTCCAGTCGACGAAATCTTATGGTTACAAACAATGTGGATTCATTATTTTTTACTTTACAACAGTTTCAAGGATTTATTCCCCTGAATTTTATGATTGTGTTTGCTTCTGGTTTTGATTTTAGTTTATTGCAGAATGAACAATCTTTCTCAATTCTTACAAGCCATCTGAAACAACATCTTACATGACATTTTTCTTACCCAAACAACCTGAAAAAAACAACTCTCATTCATCCAACTTCTTCACCTCTCCATTTCCATACTCACATCACCACAATCATCATCCTCCCTTCGACAGACATTGTTTATCAGCTGCGTCAAGTTAATGTACGACGAGCCCCCTTCCTTGATTGCCCTCTTCGCCATTTTCCTGAGCTCCCGAGCTCTCTCTCTCCTCTCCGCCCCTCTCTCTCCTCCATCCATCAACTCCTCAATTGCCGCCTTAATTCCCTCCGACCTCACCAGAACTCCCACTTTCTTTTCGTCTCCGAAAACAATCGGCACCTCGACTCCCACCCTCACCCCTGTTTTCGCGACACTCACAATGAACTTCTCGTTCGGAAACTGCTCCGCAAACACCGGCCACGTCAGCATCGGCACCCCCGCCGCCACCCCCTCGAGCATCGAGTTCCACCCGCAGTGCGTCACGGAACCCCCGACCCAGGGGCGGAGACACCCTAAGGCTAGGGTGGGCTCCAGCCCCATGTATTTTTTTGCTAACTTATTTTTGCTAACCTTATTTTTTAGAAAAAAATTATAAATAGTCCCATTAGCCTCATGTAATTTTTTATGTAACCCCATTTAAATTTAGGCTGAATGCCTCAAGAATATCTTCAGGTTAAAATTTTTTATCTGACAACAATGGTGAAAAAATGATGATTGTAGTGAGGAAAAAATACAATCATTTATTGTCAAATGACAATTATGACCTTATTAGATTTTATCAATCGACTTTATAATGTGACCGAACACATTCTTGCCTTTTAAATTTTTAATCGGTTGGCTTGATAAATATCAAATGAGCTGGATAATTAAGTTTGACACAGACTTCTCCAATGGGCTATTTAATCGGGTTCGTCTCAATCCGTTATCTATTTTCATTTATTTATTTATTTATTTATTTATTTATTTGTTGATTTCACCTCCAATAACTAAATCGGCATCATTTCCTAGACAAAGAGAAATCTCGTACAGAGTTGATTGCAAGCATGTTCGACTCTATTTGTTTGATCGACAAATTCGATTAGAAATTTGAGTTTGGCTTGTGTATATATAAAAGTGATTCGAGATTGAGTTTTTCCAATACAAACAGACATGTTAAATGTTATTTTGTTTCTAATCATAACCAAAACTGGTTAGAGGTCGAAACCGTCGATACCGGGCCGAGAGTTGGAGGAGCATGAACCGGCGCGTACATGTGTACCGGCCGGTTCATTGAACTGTCGGTTATTGGCCGACCGGTTCATTGAAAAAATAAAAATAATTAAAATAATATTTTTTAAAAAAAGGCCGAACCTCGGATTCTGGTTCCAATTCGGAACCGAATCTGCATGTTCAAAATGTATAAACTATAAGGTATTGTACATGAACCGAACTGGTCAAAACCACGGACCGGTTCAAGACCCATGGTCAACGGGCCAGTTTGTGTTGGTTCGAACCGAACCGACAGGCTGAGTCGCCCCATGACCATGTCTAGAAGGTTCTAATAATAGCTAAAATAATATGCAGCCTCAGGTTAAAAAATTTCCTGGCTACGCCCCTGCCCCGACCGACGGTTGGTCGAGTACCAACACTTGTGGGGCCTACCCGCGTATCAAAAGCCCCCTCCCCTTAACCCTCTCCTCAAACTTCTCGTCTCCGAGCCACTTTTCGAACTCATCTGACGCGTTCCTCACAACCCACAAGAACGGCCGGCCCGAACTCTTTAAACCCAACCCGAGCTCGATGAGTTGCGGGGCCGCTAGACGGGACAAACTCCCGAGGCAGACGTAAACAACCGTCCCCTGTTCTCGGGAACCGAGCCATCTCAAGCACTCACGCTCGTCGATCGAGGCCCGATTTCCTCGTTGGGCCTTATCCAAGAAATCGCCATCGTTGCACAACGAGACTGGCCCAACGCACCACACCTTTGTCCCCTTGGCTTCGGCGTACCCCTTCACGTACTCTGCCTCGAGCTCCTCGAAAGAGTTGGACACAATCACGAAAGCTTCGGAATCGGCCTCGTGAATATTCCGGCGTATTTCATCCCACTCTGGAGGGACTTCCTCGGCCGTTCCCCGAAGCTGCGCTTTCGTGAGCTCGACTCGATCAGGCAGACCGGACAGCACGAAATACTCTGTATCCAAAGACACGCCCTAAAAAACCGTGGGGTCATCGAGCATGTGCTTGCATAGTAGATAAAAACAGCTCATCCTGTGAAAGACGAGCCTCGGGATTTGCAACCTGGTGGCGAGGACCGTCGTCCACGGGTAGCATATGTCGGACAACAAGCAAGTTAGGTGGGGTTTGAGGTTTCGGAGCGTATGCTCAACTTGGTCTTCTAACTTGGAGGTCGCGCGGAAAAAATTGAGTATGTCGTCGACGGAGGAAAGCATTTCGAAGTTGTCGCAATTGTTCGGGAGGCCGACTTCGAAGCTCGGGAGTAAGACGTGGGAGACGCGGATGTCGAGGCTGGAATCGGCGGCGCCTTGGATCACGGGCTCGACTCGAACGTGGTTGCGGAGAGTGGTGAGGATCGTGACGGTTAGGCCGCGTTGGGCGAGGAGTCTTGAGATGTCTACCATGGGAATAAGGTGGCCTTGGGCAAGGAAAAGGAGAAGGACAAAGTGGTGATGTTTTTGTTGTGTGGCCATTTTTTGTTTGGAGTGTCTTTTTGTTGTATGTTATATTGCTCGTTGCAGGTTAACTATGGCTACATACGACGAAGACCCGCCATGGGGGTGTTTCTAAGTATACATGGACATGCCAGACTACCCCACCATGGTAAGGTCAACATGCTCACTTGAGTATTGAAGCACTATATTGGTTTTTAAAGCACTTCTATTGCACAACATAATATTATTGATATTGTGAACGTAAGACAAGTCAATTTGATTGGTCATATCATGTCACTTCGACTGTGAATATTGTACACAAACAAACTCTTTTACGCATGCTGGTACACATGCTCGTGAAGTAATTTAAGCCAATCAGCTCGGCTTTAAAGAAAAGCTTAAGCCTACCTGCGAACTTGGCGTGAGTTGTCATAGTAAAAGCCATAAATTATGGATTGTTGTAAGTGACTTCAAATCAGTGCAGCTTTGCAGCAAAAAGGCTGATAATTTGTCATGTCACAACGGCTATGAATAATTTGACCAAATTATTGCACCTCAATGTTGATAAATTGTATTGTACGTATGACATTTATAACTACATAAATTGGTACATAAATGGGGGGTTTCAATAAGTTCATTCTACACAAACGTAATTAAAATGAGAGGAGTTATGCATGACGCTGCATCTACAAAAAGTAGTTTTACAACAAATTAGATATTACACAAAACAAAAGTTGCCTACAATTCAACATCAACCTACTTCATTCAACTCAACCTTACTTAAAAGACAATAGCATGAAACAAAAGCAAACACTGAAGCACAATAAATATTTCATATATGTATGCTTCTTCTCCAACCATTGAACTTCACGGACAGCATCATCAAGTCGCAACTGTAGTTCGGTATCATTGGTTTGCTTCTTCGCCAATTGTTTCACCAACTCCTTATTCTCATCCTCCATTGCTTTTGCCTCGGTAGTTCTTAACTCCAGCCTCTCGGATAGCAGTTTCTCCATAACTTTTTTGCACATTAGTTGCTCATGCAACCAATCTTTTTCAGCCTTAAGCTTGTTAAACAATGTTTTTTGGAACGACGACAATTCGGGATCAACCCAAACAAACATGGGACAAGCATCAGGCGACTGTCATAAAAGAAAATAACACAAAGGAAAAACGTCATGTACATTCAGTTTATCATTTTTCATAGAAGTAGAAGGTCACAGAAACACCTCTAATAATATACATCGCAAAACAAAAGTGTTACAACAAATGTACCTTCCACCTAGAACACTTCAAGAACCTTCTGGCCGGGTTTTCATTCGTCATTGATGTCAAAACAACGCATTTCTCGCCATGATCACATAGCCTGATCTCCAATGGATTATGGTTGGAGGATCCATAAAATCGGTTGTTTGAACTCGTGTGCGAAGAATTTGACATGGGGCTATGTGATGCCGGTTGTCCCAAAACCAGTTAAATAGAAAAAAATAAACAACAATCACAAGCAAAACATGATGCATATTGTCGTAAACAATGCGTATCAAATTCGGATGATTCAAGCATGTATATGGAGCAGCAGGAAGCACTTCAAAGTCACAGGTTATTGTAAAAAAAAACCGCAGGAATAGGTAGCCGACAGCAAATTTTAAACTACGTAAAACAAATTATATGTTCCCATAAACCTGTATGTAACTATGTGACACTGAATATTTTTTTTTCCAATACATGAAATATCATATATACTCAACAAGGCCACAAGAAAAAAAAATAAAACATCATTATTCTACAGGATAAACAAAGCAAATCAGAGAAAATAAGAGATATTCTTTCCACCCTTAGATTTGCAAAGTCAAGAGCTGACACATCATTATTCTACAGGATAAACAATGCCCTTTATCTTTGAAATGTACCTGGGCCAGTTAACAACATGAAAAGCCCTTTATCTTTGAAATGAAACAAGGCCAGGGCCAGTTAACGAAAATGTGAAAAACCAGCTTCATCATAGCTGCAGGGCCAGTTAGACAGTATCGAACATTGTAGCCATTTAACCCTATCTACCATCAATCACAGACAATGAAACAATCAACAGGAAAAAAATCAGAGTCATTTAACTCTTGCTACCATCAATCACAAACAAACAATGAAACAATTAACAGGAAAAAAACATTTCTACACTAGGCCATAGCCATTATTTTTGGAAAACCGAGTACCACATACGCTACCACACAAACATCAAAGATAGTAATGCAAGCCATAGTAATCCAGGAACACATTCAACCTTATGATTTCACAAGAAACAAGCTGCAGAAACTAAAATCCATGATTACCACCAAGCAGCAATGCAAGACTAACCGAGAGGAGTAAATGTAAATTGTTTGATCAGATAAAAAACAATGTGAAATCAGAATAGATCAATAAACTGATAAAATTTCGTGTACCGTGTAATAGAGCAGACAAGCTCCCCATCGATAGGAGAAAATCTATGAAACTAGGGTTCGGAAAGCACCCTTATTACGAACCAAATCGTAAGATCCCGGCTCACAGATTCAAAATAGAGTTAAAAAAACGAACTAAATATCTCAACTTTAACACAGAAAAATACAAAATTTGAGATTGAGAGAGGAAAATCAAATCTATTGTTGCTGGCGCCGATGTCCAGATTGGATAGAAGGTGGAATTGTTATTGTCTCTCTCGTATCAGGAATCCGTGCCCTTCGATGGAGTTCACTTACCGTGGGATTGCTGTCGATTTTCACGAGCAATTTCTCTGCCAATTTCTCTGCGATTTTTCGAGTCTCTGGGAAGAAGAAAATGAACAGAGAGGTAACAGATGCGGCTCGATTTTGTGCAGACACAAGGGTAATATTGTCATTGCATTGTGTAACATGCGAATTAGTCCATCAAAGTAAATGTAAGATTCATTTATGTGAATCACAAACAGGAAGTAAACAAGGGACTGATTGATGACGTGTAAAGTTATGTGGGATAATTTAGCTTATCCCAATCCCCCAAAGTAAACGACCCCTGATGGGAATCAGTACAAATCCACTGCAAGGTACGTACAAAGAGGGAGTTTCACAAGACGATCGAGAGACCACAAGAACATTTCGAACTCCAATCGTTAACTTCATATAGCACGTTAACATACAACATGATCGATGAGGGAAATGTTACAGTCTCAAAGCTACAGTCTCGTTACGGAACCATTTCGTTGAGATTTGTAACCGTTAGATCATCATGTAACAGTCGTCGATAGTTGATTTAACGGTTACAAATCTCAACGGAATGGTTCTGTAACGGGAACGTAGAATCTCCCACATGATCATGTTACGTGTTTTGCTATCTAAGGTACTAACGCCTTCATTAATGCATAGAAGATAGAACGTTCTAATTTGTTTTCTATCTAAGTGAGGACCATATAATTAATAAATATTCATCATAAGTTCCTTTCATTGTCCACACCACAATTTTTCTCCAATATGTATATGTGATAACCGGTCGACCCTTCGCGTGATGTGATGACGTACGCTCTTCCGTCACCACCATGATCAAGAAACCTCCATCAAGAAAGTTATATATAAGCCATGCCCTTCCTTAAGCCTCAAACTCCATAAAAAAACACCAGCTGAGTAAAAAGAAAGAAAGAATATATGGCTATAAAAGAAAAGCAACCCCATTTTGTTCTTCTCCCATTTATGGCCCAAGGCCACATGATTCCCATGGTAGACATCTCAAGACTACTAGCCAAACGCGGGATAACTGTCACAATCCTACTCTCTCCCAAGAATCACGACCGAGTTAAACCGACAATCGACCGCGCGGTCGCCTCTGGGTCGAGCATTCGCGTCTCCCACATCAAATTCCCGAGTGTCGAAGCCAGCCTTCTGGAAGGTTTCAAAAGTCTCGAGGGGATTCTCTCGCTGGACGTGTCCGTAAAATTTATGAAAGCCACGGCCGTGTTGGAGGACCGAGTCGAACAAATCCTTCGGAACCTCGAGCCCGACCGGTGTGTCTAATAGCCAACATGTTTTTTGTATGGAGCACGACCGTAGCCACCCGGTTGGGAATCCCGAGGCTCGTGTTTCACGGGACGAGCTGCTTTGCAGTTGTCTACAAGCACTTGATGAAAGCCTCCAACTATTTCGAAGACATTGCCGCTTCGGATACAGAGTATTTCGTGCTGCCTGAGCTGCCCGATCGGATAGAGATAACGAAGGCTCAAATTAGTGGCAAGGCCGGCAAAATACCGCCCGAGTGGACCGAATTTCGCGAGAAGATGTTGGATTTAGAATTCGGATCGCTCGGGAACGTCGCCAACACGTTCGAGGAGCTCGAACCGGAGTACGTGAGGCACTACGCGCAAGTTAAAGGGAAAAAGGTTTGGTGCATTGGGCCCGTTTCATTGTGCAACGAGGACGAGTTGGATAAGGCCCAACGTGGAAAACGAGCCTCGGTCGATGAGCACGAGTGCCTGCAGTGGCTCGGTTCCCGAGAACTGGGCTCGGTCGTTTACGTCTGCCTCGGGAGTATGTCCCGCCTGGCCGCCGCTCAGCTCGTCGAGCTCGGTTTAAGGTTGGAGGGTTCTGGCCGGTCATTCGTTTGGGTCGTGAGGAACGTGTCGGATGAGTTCGAAAGGTGGCTCGGGGACGAGAAGTTCGAGGAGAAGGTTAAGGGAAGGGGGCTTTTGATCCGCGAGTGGGCCCCGCAAGTGTTGATACTCGACCACCCGTCAGTCGAGGGTTTTCTGACGCACTGCGGGTGGAACTCGATGCTCGAGGGGGTGGTGGCGGGGTTGCCGGTGCTGACGTGGCCTGTAACACCCCGCTCATCAGAGTCAATTTTTCGCATCTTCTTATTTTGAAAGTACTTATAAATTTTTCAAAATCTTCTTAACTTAATTCGGAATGCTACTAAACTTATCTTCTTTAAAATCTGTCTTCTCAAACCTTGGTCTAACAACTAGCTAGATATAATAAAACAGATTTTACTTATCAATCATATATGGAAACTTAACTTGATAAATCTTTTAAATTCGAAAAATACTATCATATATGTTCGATATCTAAAAGACGTAGCGGAAATCTTATAAGCATGGTATAATACAAACCGAAACCTTATTAAAAATCCATAATAAAATAGAATTCTCGATCCACACCACCATAGCTGCTCTCACACCTCTGCAACGACCCTTTTACCTGAAAATGATAATAGTGGGGCGTGAGTACCAACTTATTGTACTCCGTAAGAACCCATACCAAAGTAAACAATAATAATACTTTAGCTTGAACTTAAACTTGAACTGTAACTTGAACATTAATATTAACTTGAACTTTAACTTTAACTTTAACTTTGCAACTACCGGTAACCTGGCCCGGTTCTCACGTGATCACATTCTGGGGTCGCCTTCCACAGAACCCAGTTTCGACTGGGCGAGATTAATACTTTACTTAACTTTAGGATGGCATATTAAGGTCTTGGCCTCCACCCAAAGCTTAAAACTCTTATACATACCTTTGACATGATAATAGCTATTATACTCAATGTAATACCCAGGCTGGGTCCCCACCTTTCTTCTTTGAAAATGTTTGAAAGTCGTAAGTGTTGCTCTTGGGTAGCTAACTCCTCAAGCTACATAAAAATATACACAAATATACTAAGTACTATGCTCATATACTCAATAAGATGTTTTAACCTCAACTGATAACTTATCAGAATTTTTAAAAAAATTCCGACTATGGCTCAAATGAATACTAATTCATTGAACAAC